CTATTCAGAGAACCTTTTCCCCGATTCAGTCGTCGACAGTTAATTATCTCTAATTATTCTGTAAGTTTTGTCACGAAACTTGTTCACATCCTTTACTTAACTCGATCAGTAAATTCACCAACAGTGTTCTCAGCCTGCTTTAAATACTGTCACATTTTTTGTCAAGAAACTCTCTTTTTCTGAAAAGTACTTAGTCACGCCCCTCGTAACTTCATCATAAGGTACATAAGAGTGTCTTGGTGTCATTATTTGTATTATTTTACAACGATATACAGACAGCGAGAAGATAAACTACACAAAGATGAACGAGTCAAACATATCACCCGCCAACGTCTCTAACATCAGTACGGTTAACACCTACTGCAAGTATGGGGAGCCTGACACCGATGTTGAGAAAATTGCCAAACGCACTGCCTACGTACTGGTCATTGTACTGGGGATTTCTTTTAACATCTTCGTCATCATACTCGCAGCTAAATTCACAGTACGCAAGAACCTGCATCATTTGATCATCAACATGGCCGTCTCAGATGCTCTATTTCTCTTTATGAATTTATTGTATGATGTCCATTGGCTGTCTGACTATAAATGGAGCATATATCCCAGCGGTACACTAGGTGTTATAATCTGCAAAACTACAACATTTCTGCTATACATCTCATATAGGGTATCATTAGTTACTCTATTAGTAATCAGTATTCAACGATTCAGAGCAACAACAACAACCTTGAAAAGATCGAGACCATACACAATGAAGCAACGTATGGCAATAATTGCTGTCACTTGGTTCATACCCATCACAGGCTCAATCCTTTACGCGTATCTGTATAGTCTACGTGGCCAATGGTGTGTTGTATTTCATAGCAATTTACTGAATAACAGAGTGATTTCCTTTGTTCACCTATTTGAACGAGCTATTCTGGTTATCCTCTGTTGTGTAATATTCATTCTTACTAGTCTAACAATAAGACGGTTGACAAAACCACAAGGCATCCAAAATCACCTTTGCGAAGAACAGAAAAACATACGAGCACGTCAAACCCAGTCAGCCGTAAGAATGGTTCTCGCCTCGGTATTGCTGTATGCTTGCTGCTGGTTTCCCAACTTAGTTTTTTACGTTGTTGTCTCGGCCGACTTTGTCATCCCGTCAGAGTATATAGTGAATTTATCCCTTTGTATTGACTGGGGACCATTGCTCTTTATCGTAACGCGATTCCTACCTGTGGTCAACTCCTGTTTCAGTCCTTGCATCTATCTTATATTTCTGTCTGATTTTCGTGACGCAGCCAAGAAGATACTCTGCAGAAAACAGGCAATAAACCGGGCAKTAAACAACCCCATCGAACTGCAACCGATGAATCCAGTGTGTAACAGAAGGAGAGGGAGAAGAAGGTTTGATGAAGATCAGGACATTTAGACTGGCTTTGAACAATGTCTACATACAAATGAAAAAGTGCAAAACGAAAGCGAACTTCAATTATGACATTTAGACTAACACACCCGTGTTTCATTACAGAAAAAAACTCAAAACAATGAACTTCAATTATAGAGTTACTTAATACAAATCGAAAGTAAAGTGTTTTCTTTGGATAATATAGGTTATAAACTAAAGCAAGAGTTATGGAAATTATGTACCAGTTTCATCAGTGAACTTGAGTGCCTTGTCCAGTACTCTGACCAGAAATATTCTAAAATGTTCTAATATAAGATTTAGAAAACTCTTACGATTCTTCTCTAATAAACTTAATAAGGAATAGAAGAGTTCAGTAGATATAAGGTAACTTGAAAAAAGAAATAAGTCCGCTTCTAGCAAAGGTTGATATTGTACATAAAACATTATATCAGCAATCTTGAATTAAGTTGTACTATACATGATATTGCAGTAAAAAACGTGTGTACATCTATTATTTTAGCAAGAAGCAGTCGTAACTGCTACWTTTATCTAATATATATAAGTGAACATTACTAAGGCCAAAAAGTCCTCTTGTTAGTTCACCTATCTCTTCAAACTTTATCATTATTACTATTATTATAAGGATTATTATTAATATATGGATAAGAATAACATAGGATTTACTTTAAGTGCTAAATGTTAAAAATAAAATCCTTTGAATCGTGGTTGTCATTTGTTCTTCATTATTTTCTCTCGTTTCACCCTTTACTTTTTTTAGTTTATTTTTCATTTCGCATTTTACATTTCCTTTTCAGAATGTCCAATTTCTCTTTCTTCCTTTTTAGTTTTTCATTATCACTCTCTCTTTTCTATTTCCACATAATGCTTCAAAAAAGAAGTACAACGTTAGCATGCAATCAAGTTGTTTATTTTCACGAATTTATCTATAGAATCGATCAAAATGGATTTGACGAATTCTTTGTTTCCTCAAAAGCAGTTTCATTTCTTTCTATTTTTAATCTCTTAGTCGTGACGAGAATGTTTAACACACACCTGTATCCATTGCTCATCATAAGACATTAATTAGAAATGCGTTGGTTAGTTCCATAGAATGTGACTAGTCTAATGAAATTAGGGATGTCGTGCAAGATGTCAAATTCGATCAGACAAGCTACCAGTATGAGCAATAATTACCATTTTAAAGTACAAAGATCTTCTACTGTTGTACGAATAGTTATGAAAACACCACGAAAACAACCAACTTAGAGCGTTTTCTATCAGTGTAATATCTATTTCACGGGTTGCGAGATTTGCTCTGTCCGATGCCCAACATGGTAAGCTGGATATGACATTTTTCACATTGACGAACAATTCATCAACTTTTCGACTACATATCAGTAATGAATATTAAAGACAGCGCACAGATAATTCAGTTATGGGTAATGTCGATCACTGAAGTTATTATTCAAAGATAT